GAGTGGGGGCCTCATGCTGGATTGCAGAAGGCTCCACATTATTAAGGGGCACTGAGGGCTGAGCTGTAGCCTGGTGCTGAATTGGAGAAGGTCCCTCCTCTGTAGTGGGTTCTCCTGTTATGGTAAGCTGCACATCTGCAGGTTTGACAGTGACATTGGGCAAATTTAAATGCTGAGCATGATGATGACCTGGAGGTGAAACCAGCACCTCATGATGCTCTGGAGGCTGAGCTGCGTGTTCCTGCTGGGCTGGAGAAGGTTCCAAATCCCCAGAAGGCTCTGGAGGCTCAGCTGGTTGCTCCTGCAGGGTTGCAGAAGGTTCTACCTCCCCTGGAGACTGAGCTGGGGTCTCCTGCTGGATTGGAGAAGATTCTGCCTCTTCAGGATGCTCAAGAGGCTGAGGTGGGGCTTCCTGCTGGGCTGTAGAAGACTCAACATCCTTAATAGGCTCTGGACCTACGGTAACTTCCAAATCCACAGGTTTAAGTGTAACATTGGGCAAGTTTGAATGATAAGCCTCCTTCCCACCGAAATGTGGACCTACCATCTCATCACTCATTAGAAAGGGAGGGAACTCTGGAGCTTCAGTTGGAGCCTCTTGCTGAGCTGGTAAAGGTTCGACCACTTCAGGGGGCTGCACAGGTTGAGCCAGGGCTTCCTGTGAGACCGGAGAAGGTTCAACCTCCTCAGGGAGCTCTAGATGCTGAGTCAGGAACTCCTGTGGGACTGGAGAAAGTTCAATCTCCTCAGGGCGCTCTGGAGGCTGAGTCAGGACCTCCTGTGGGACTGGAGAAGGTTCAATCTCCTCAGGAGGCTCAGAAGGCTGAGCTGGGGTCTCCTGCTGGGATGTAGAAGATTCAACATCCTTAATAGGCTCTGGAGTTATGGTAACTTCCAAATCCACAGGTTTAAGTGTAACATTGGGCAAGTTTGAATGATGAGCCTCCTCCTCCCCTACAGGTTGAACTGCCACCTCATTACCCACTGGAATGGTAGGGAACGCTGGAGCTTCAGTTGAGACCTCTTGTTGAACTGGAGAAGGTTGGACCTCTTCAGGAGGCTGCGCAGGCTGAGCTGGGGCCTCCTGCTGGCTTGGAGTAGGTTCCACCTCCTCAGGGTGCTCTGGAAGCGGAGCCAGGGCTTCCTGCTGAACTGGAGGTTCAATCTCCTCAGGGCGCTCTGGAGGCTGAGTTGGGGCCTCCTGCTGGGTTGGAGGAGATACAACCTCCTTAGTCACCTCTGGGGTTATGGTAAGCGCCAGATCCACAGGTTTAATGGTGACATTGCGGAAGTATGACTGCTGAGGTTCAGCAGGTTCAACCTCTTCAGGAGTATTTGAAGGCTCAGCTGATGCTTCCTGCTGAACTGAAGATGGTTTCAATTCCTCAGGAGACTCAGGAGCTATAGCGGAGGCCTCCTGTGGGTTTGCAGAATTTTCAGCTTCCTTGGGGGGCTCTAGAGGCTGAGGCAGAGGCTCCTGCCGAAAAGGAAGTGGTTCTATCTCTTCAGTGGGCTCTGGATGCTCGGCCTGGGCCTCTTGCTGGGGTGAAGGTTCAACCTTCTCAGGGGGCTCTGGATGATGAGTTTGGGCCTCCTGCAGGGGTGGAGAAATTTCAACTTCCTCAGATGGCTCTGGAGATTGATCTGGGACCCCCAGGAAATCCATAGGTAGGTTCTCCTCATGATAAAAGCTATCCATACTGGAATCTAAATCATCATCCTGCAACTGTTGTTCTAGATGCTGAGTTTGTTTTGCAAGTGGAGATCCAACAACAACTTTGGCGAGCCGTCGATGCTGAGCTAGATCTTTCTTCAGGTTTGGGGGTGAAACAATAAACTTTGTTGGTTTTGAACTCTGACTATCTAGAGGTGGAACAAGTATTTCAAATGATTGGTGACCTCCAGCCTGATCTAGACCTACAGTTTGCTTCTTACTTTTGAGTCGAGGAGGCAGAGCTAGGGCCTGATTCTGATCCCAACCTAGCATTGGAACCACCTCTGGGAGCCTTTGACGCTGGATTAGCTTGTCATTCAGATCCCGATGTGGAACAGCAAACTGATCTGGCCCTGGGGGCAGCTCTCCAACTGAATCCGTGTCCGGGAATGGAACCAAAGTCTCAGTCAACTCCTGAGGCAATGCCAACATCTGGGTTGGAGGAGAGGACCCCAGGTAATTAAAGCCCCCTGGCTCTGCCGGGGGTGTAAGTGCATGGGGCGATTCGGGGGGGAGATCAGAGGAGTGCGAAGACCAGGGCTCAGTCGGCCCCGGGGGCTCGGAGGTCAGCTGGATAGGGTCCAGGGCCCACTCCGGAGGATGAGATGCCTGGACCAGCAGCCACAACAGTTGCCACGCGAGGAGGAGCCGTGGGGCCCAGAGGCGCAGCCGGGACATGACATGCGGGGGCTTCGGGGCGCAGCGACCCAAGCCAGTGGGGCGCCGGCGCCACGCCGAGCGGAAGCCGAACCGTTACTGCAGCCTGGTGACGGCGCGCACCATTAGCAACCGCGCGCCCCTCCCCCGCCTCACGTCGCACCCTTTATTTACGCCACCTTTATTAGGCTCGGGCAGAGATCGGCTCCGCACCACCAGAGCGCGCCCTTTTCTCTGAATCAGCAGGGCCCAAGCCTCCCTTCTTCCTGCAAAGACAACCACCACCTCCCGCCGGGCCCCTGTTACCCTCTCACAGGAAGGCAGGATTTGGGCTGCAGACCTGGGTGGCAGGGACTCCAGCAGCCCAGGGGTGGGGGGATCCGAGGGTTAAGGGAGTGGCGGGGTGGGGGTGGGGGGTGGGGAACAGGGGAGGCAGAGCTTCCCAAGGACGCCACAGGGCCTGGCATCCCGGGAAATTCAAAAGTGCTAGTTCAGTTCTGGCAATCTGAACTCTTCCTCCTCAAAGCTGAAATCAGAGAGATATTCTTCCTCCCCTTGGCCACACTGCTTCCAAGAAAAGTAGCTGACCTGCAAAATGAACACCAGTTAGGGTGGCGGAGAGGGGAACACACTTTGGAGTTAGTTATTCCAAAATGTTGCCATTTCCTCTAAACTCTCAGTATCCATATCTGATTATTAATTCACCACTCTATTAGATAGGGGCTACCACTGAATCAGTGATGACTCCAAAATTTCTATAGGAGAGGTTGTAGGGGGTGAGCAATTCATTTTGGGAAAGAGGGTCTGAAACCAACTGAACAGCCCTCTACATTGGCATGGGAAAACTCGACCCCCCCCCCACCCCACCATGGCTCAACACAGCCATTAATCTAGAAAAAGTAACAATGCCACTTTTCAGAGGTCTACCCTGTGTGCACACATGGAGAAGACATGTAGGATGTTAAAGTCAGCATGTTAAATAATTTTCTTGAAATACTGTAACTGGCACCCAGTTTACTACCTCCTTCACAGCCCTTTATAATCTATTTTATTTTAGTCCTTGTTTATTATCTGGCACAACCTCTAGCATGTAAACTCCAAGAGAAAAGGGGCTTCATCTTAGACTTCTTAAAGCCCAAACTTGGATAAATTTGAAGTTTCCTTGACTGGTTTGATCTAAATTGGATTAAAATAATTATTTTGCACAGAGAAAACTTCAAATACTTTTTCAGAGTATAATCACCTTTTCTTTCTCTACTTTCTTCCCTTCAAATCAAACTTTGCAACTTTGGGGTGAGTTAGTCAGAAATCTAGCCCCAAATTAAATTCTCAATGACACAAAACACATTTTTTGCTCCCTTTTTAAAAAAAAAAACAGTCTATATGTAGTACATTAATATTTTCTTTTAGAAATTACTTTGGTAACTTAATCCCTAATTCAGGGCAACCATATAATTGGTTCACAGAAAGGTTCTTCAGCAAAATATTTCACACAAGATGTATATGAGATGCTGAGATCTGGGTAATACATCTTACTTGAAAGGCATAATGGTTTTCAAATGCTGTAGCATAATCACACTTAAGGCCATAGTTACTTTGTTCCCAAATCCCTGGGATCTTGCTTGAGGGGAGTTCTAAAAAGTCTGTCTCTTCTCCTGTGTCCACAACTGTAGGCGTACTCTGATGGTCTCCAATCCTGCTCTCCAAATTTCAAATAAGGGCTCAGAGCCAAGGGCCAGGACCTCAGGAAAAGCCCCAGAAATTCCCTGCACTCAAAAGCAGCTTCAGAGGTTCACATTTTCCTAAGGATGACAGAGCTGACTGTACATGCCAGTCTTCCAAATCCTGCTGGCTGTTTTGAATTATGGCTTTTATCTCCACATACTTGAATTAAATCCTGTAGTTCCTCTTCAGTTCTGGCATCTGTGATCTCTTCACAGGGTCTATATGTCACAGCTATTTTACCACTTTCTGAAACAGTTATTAAAGATCAATTCAGAATTTTTCTTGTTTTAAAATTTCCTGTATACAATGGTAGCACCCAATAATTCCACATTCTTTTGATTTCTAAAAGCAGAAAATAAGAGCATTTTCCTAGAAGTTCCCTCATCTCACACTTTAGTTTTTATCATAACTATTTGTGAAAAAATATATATGATGTATCAACTTTGGTTCAAAAAATTTTATGATCTTAGAGATAGGAATTAAGGAATAATGACATAGGAAGTAAAAACTGTGGAAACAAAACTGTTCGATCATAATACGATTAAATAGTAAGGCATTAGGTGGGGGTCAAAGAGAGTTCAAACCTGGGATAGAGACCATTGGACCACAGTAGATACTTCATATTAGAGGCAAGGCAAGTGTCTACTCCCTGGGAACCAAAATTCCAGCAGATACAATGAACAAAGCTTTGGGGCGGGGGGAGAGAGAGCGCGAGCATTTCAACACTTTATTGGCAGAAACTGGCCCATGTACCTTATAGACAATACATCTTCCCTCAAGGCAAACTAGAGCCACAAGGCTTTCTGGTCTCAGGAGTTTTGAGTGTGTACAAGGGATACGTTAGCACATTAGGGAGAAGTAAACAACCCAGACATGTAGTTTGGTTCTTAAAGGTTGTTACTCAGAGTTGACAGCTGATGGAGATTCTACCCGATGATCAGGAAAGTCAACCTTCACTGGAAGGGCTGCCCAAGCTGGAAGGCTGAGAACAATCCAGGGTCAACCCCTTCAAGTAAATAAGGTCTCTGACAACTTAGCTAGGATTTCTCAGTCTCTAAGCCTGCAGGGCTGTGAAGCAGGGCAGCAGTTCTGTTCAGAACTCTCTACTAATCATAATGTTTCCTTTGGGCACAGCCCGTACATTCACACCACTGTAGAACTCAATAGGGAACATAATCAATGCTATTCAATAGTATGACCATTTTCAAGGCTCACAAAAACGTAGCTGATTATTACAGAAGAATCATTTTCTCCCAATATGTCAGTGCCAGAAATGAAAACTGAAACGGAACTGATTCCAAAAACATAATCTAATAAACTCTCCAACAGGAAAACAATGATAATAATGGTAGTTAACATATTTTGTCTGCTTACCATGTTCTAGGCATAGTTCTAAGCTTTTTACATTCATCGCCTCATTTACTCCTACAATATCCACCATGACGTAAGCTGAATTACTAACCATATTTTGCAGATAAAGAAATTGCAGCTTAGAGATATTAAATACCTTCAAATCTCTCTGGCTATAAAACCTCAAATTGCATAAAAAAATCTAAGAGACAGAGTTAGGACTCAAACACAGGGGTCCAAAGCTTGTAATCACTATACTATTCTGTATGATAGGCAAGCAATCAAGAAAGAACTGGATCAAACACTTACGTTCAGTGGGAACTGAGGCAAGTCAATCTACAGCTATATACTGGGGAAAATAATATATGCTGTCATTTTTCTCACAAATGCCACAAAGAACAAATTTGAGACCACTGCTGTGACAGCATTTGGTGAATGAAATATAGAGTGTTTCAGATATCCATTATTTTCATTCAATTGACTTTTCCAAATGAGTGTATTTGCTCATTGAAACTGAGGTACTGCGAGGACAATCAAGAAAGTCTTACCTAAAACCACAATCAACAGTTTCTGGAATGCATCTGACATAGCCTTCTGAATAGCAAGCTTCTGGGTTTTCTTCCTTTTCATAAGGAATGATAATGGTCCTAAATCCAACCAAAACAAACGGATTTAAAATGCCTATCTGAATGATAATTGATTTTTATGTTATATTTAAAAATTAAAATGTATCCACGATTCTTAGATCATAATCTTAGTGATTAAGGGCAGGCACAACACAACGGTATGACTGAATGGCTCTGTTGTAGGTATATCCTGGCAGGGCACATTTTTACTGCCCCAATCTATTCCAGAAGTTCCTGACGTACTAGAAGGGAGATACAATCCAAGAATATGGCACAAATCTCACAACACTCACAGATTTCAAACGGACAAGCTGAAACTACACTCCTACAGACCCTACTCTCCTGTGCATCACACAGTGGGAAAGGTTCAGTGGTGGTGCAGGTGATGTGGCCTTTCCCTGAGCATCACCCACGAGAGCCTACCCCACTTCATTTGCTGACAGCCCTGCCTCTGACATAAAACCCTAAGCCTGAGTGCCATGGATCCTTGGAAAAAACTCAGTACCAATCGGAATACCCTTTGTAGGTCTATATTTAACTCTTTTTCCACTTGAGTCCCTCTATAGGAGGCAAAGGACTGAACGTTCACACAAGAGTTTATTTAAATCTTTAGGTGATGGTTTTGCTGGGATAACTGAAGGCTACAAGAGTCCTGTATTTGAAGGACTATTTTAGCACAAAGAAAATTCTTGACCAAAAATGGGAAAAACATTATTTCCCTCTTGTTAAGCTTCTTGGCAGGAAGTCAGCTCTAAAATTGTAAAGTTAAAGGTTCTGTCAGGTATTGCCTAAGATAAAAACCTGTATTGGAAGGCAGAAAAACTCTGCCAAGGGCTTTAATAGCTTAGCAAGGGGAGGGCTTGAAGATGTACCCAAAAAGATAAGTTTTAGAAAGAAAGAAAAAAAAAAAAGGGATTCCCGCTGTTCCCCCCAACCCCCATCCCCGCCCCGAAACAGACCTTCCTCCAGCTTATCCAAAGGCTCCTCGGCCACACCAACTCCAGGACTTCTGCACTCATAGGAGGGCAACACCACCTCTAAAGCACAGAGGAACTTGAGGCTTCGCTTCTGAGGTGGTGATATTGTGGCATTTTCATTTTCCCTCTCTTCAAGGTCAGAAAGATCCTGAAGCTGTCGGGATTTTGAATTAAAAGTCCTTCCTAGGATCTCAATGTAGACTTCAAAGTGTTTTGTTATTAGAAAAAAAACTAAACCCCAGCAATCCCAGCTAACAGTTGAGGTGTCCTACAGCTTCAAAATCAAGTAAGACTTGCAAACGAATTACTAGATACAGACAACTATTTTTTATTATATACCATACAAACACTAGAGAAAATTATGGACACCACCACCCAAGTTGATGAGATTATTATTAATTTTAGGTGGCAGGCCAATGCTCAGATACTTCCACTTAGAGGTCGCTCACATTTCCTCCCCACAACCCAGTTCT